TGGAGGCTGGGTAAGGACATGCTTTATTTTTCTAAAGGTATTGTGAGTCACTTTCATTGACTGTGGAGACACAAAATCAGGGCCGCTAAAGCCTCATACAAAGGCTTTGCCATTAGTCCAAATTAGGTGGCCAGAACCTACAAAATCCAGCTATTCACAAAAAAGAACAAAGCTGTTTGGTGGCAGGAGACCCAAGACCACATATAGCCTGGATCCAGTCCATAGAGAGCAGTTGTTCCCTAGGTGGAAGAACATATCCCAAATACTGAACTTTTTGGAGGGCTATCTGAGCCTTGTCTTTGCAGACTATATCCCGGCTTAACTAGAAATTTGAATTTGCATAGTATTACAGTTGGATAACTCCTGAATTGCACTGCAAAGTAGATTATCATCTGCACACTATAGGATGATTCCCTGTTTAAGCTCCAGGTTCTTAATGCCTGAGTAAAAAAGGTAAGGATGCCTCTAACCCCTGGTGGGAGAACTGTCCAAGTATATTGCTGCTTTTCTCTTAAAATACGATTTTCAACTTTAAAGGCAAGTAGAAAATGAGAGTCTGAATGTAGGGAAATGGAAAAAAAAAATGTCTTTTAAATCTAAGACTAAGAACCAACTAGTGTTCCCTGGAATGTTGGAGAGAACTGTATATGGATGTGCCACCAGAAGGTAAACTGGTATGACAGCCTCATTAATAAGGTAGAAGACCTATACTATCCTATATTCTCCATAGGGCTTTACTACAGGAAGAATAAAGTATTGTAACAGTACTGACAAGAGTGCAGAAAACCATATTTGAGAAACTTGTCAATGAAGGGCTGAAGGCTTTTATGTGCCCCTTTGATTGGATACAGACTTCAGTTAGGAAATTGACTGGGATCTGTTAGTTTTATAACTATTGGCATAGCTGAATTTGCCCTTCAAACTATTCCACTATTCCTCACAGCAATAGCCACCTGTTAGCCAATTTGGTCATGCAGACCTAGTATAGTCCCAACAGGTAAAATCTGTTCTGCCTTTGTTGGAATATGGGAGTTGGTCCCAATTTTGCTAGTAAATCACTTCCTAGCAAGAGAATAGGACACTGTGGAATAAACAGAAATTCATGGTTAAATATGTAGCCTTCAAAGTAACACATCAGAGCAAGAGTAAAGAATCTCGGACCATAATTCTCTCAACCCTAACTATGGTTATAGATCTAGAGAAGGGTTTTTCAGCGAAAGAAGTAAAAATTAAATGAGATGCTTCTGTGTCAGTAAATAATCAACCTGGCTTGCCCATGATATGAAACATCACCTAGGAGTCCTTGCAAGAGATGTTGATGTCCATGGACAGGGGCACTGTAGGTTCTCTTGGGCTTCTTCAATCATCAGAGCAGGAAATGAGGGTTTCTTCTGTCCTATCCCCTCTCAGAGAACAGGGACAGTTAACCCTCCCCAGAGCCATCAGACATGCACACTGGCTGCCTCACACTCAAAGCAGGGTCTAGGAAGTTGTGTGCTCAGTGTCCAGTCTCTTGTTCTTGAAGCAGGCACTCTTTCATTAACTGTCCTTGAGTTTTTCCCTTAGACAACCTGGGTGAGTTTAATCCATTGCCAACTATGACACCTATAATCTTAGCCTTTATCTTTTGATCATCCTCGTATCCTGATAGTTGAACATAGAAAAGGCCATGTCCAGCAATAGGGACATAGATGTCTGTGGGCTCATCTGAAGTTTTTGTAATTTACAACAAATATCTGGGGCTGAATGACAAATGCAATGATGCCTGATTACTGCTTTACCCTCCATGGAAGACAGATCTACAGTTAGTATATTTACAAAAGACTACTACTAACCTGTTACAGAGAACAGCTAGATTTTCACCTCTTTGACCTGTATGAGCCTGTTCACCTCACCATAATTAACAGATTTCATAATACACCTTCTCATCCCTATAGTAAGAGTAGCTATAATATCAAACATCATTTTTAGTCCTTCATTAGTATTATAGTTCCAGTTTGGTTCCATTAAACGGACAACATCTTTCCTTCTCTTCCTAAAGCATATTGCTCATCTGTACAGATCCTAGATTCTTATAGGATTCATCAACTTTTATCTGGGGCATAGCAAGTGGTCAGGTTGAATTGGACATCTCTCCATGATAAATCAAAAGCAAGGATGAAAATTTGAAGCCCATCTTCAAATTTACTAGGATCTTGGATAGTTGGTCTAGCCATCTTTTGCACTGCTGGACATCTGTGACTGAGAACAGGACCTGAACTTGAGTGGTTCTTTCTACTCCTGAGACCTCTCTTATGAGCAGGACAATTATTTCAATTATATCTTTACTATAAGAAACAGAAAAAATGGTCAACTGTGAATTAGAGGAGTAAAAAGCACCACTTCAGGTTCTTTCTGCAGGGCTTCCAGTGTGTGTGCGCCCAATGGGACTGAAGGCTGTCTGAGGGGTATAACGAGGGAGCTGAGGAATAGCTGTTTCCTCTGGGGCACCAGGCTCCAGTGTAGTTCCTGAGTCACTCGCTTGGAGGGGATGGATCTTTCTCTTCCTCAGAAGCTACTCTATCTACTGTGGTTTGTGGGTATTTCCTGAGGTAAAGATTAGGGTACAGAAACTGTCAACAAATTTTTTAGGATCCTCAGGAAATTTAACCCCAAATTTTCCTTGCATTGCGTAGCATCTATAATTGAAAAAGGAACTAGTCCTTGGGTAGTACCACAGGTTCTTGGCATTTCTAGAAGGGAGAGAGCAGTGGTGGGTTTAAATGTTGAGTTCCTTGAATCCGGGGCCCTATTTGCCTTTTACCTATGTATCTCTTAACTTGGTTTTTTGAGTTATCCAGAACCAACACCTAAACAAATGGGACACATTGACAGCTGTAATGCTGAAGGGGAGAGAGGGTCAGAAAACGAGGAGGGAAAAAACCTAAAACCTATGCAAAGGAAGCACTCAGAACTCATCCTGAGCCTATGACCCATAGTGTGGCACAAACACCCTTAGCATTAAAGCAAGAGCTGCCCAAGTTCAGGTCAAATTACCAAGCAAGCACTCCACAGAGAAAAACAAAAAAATTTTAAAAATAAAAAATAAAAAATGCCTACTGCCCTAGAAATCCCTACTTTCTCCTTCCTAGGCTAAGCACTCCTTGCCTGGCTCTCCCACTGCATCTTATTTCATCCTCATTTTTGTTTCTCTCATTGTTGAGCTTCATGTCCTGTGCTCTTCTGTGTCTGTTTTCATTCACTCAACATACAGCCTGTGAGAACTAGCCATGCTGTTTAATATACCAGTCATAGCATTTGATTGTGTAATACTGTTTATTTATCTGTCTTCCTCCTGTGACCATGGGGGCTGCTTTGTTTCTCTATTATGAATAACACGGCTGTGAACATTTCTGTAAAGCTCCTTTGTGGACAGAGACATTCATCTTTTATTTCTCAGATACACGAATTCAATTCTTGGACACATGCCCAGGAATGGGGTTGTTGGGGTCATAGTGTAGGCACATATTTAGCTTTGATAAAAACGGCCAATTTTGTGTGCCATCTGAGCTCTTCACAGCCCTCCAGCACTGTATAAGAGTTGTATCTTCTTCGCCCTGGGTATTGGCAGCTTTCATTGTTTTATCCATTCTGGTAGGTAGCTAGTTGTTTCTATTTGCATTTCTGATGAAGAATGATGTTGAGTGCATCGCATATCTTTATTAGCAAACATACATTAAAGTCTCTTAGGCTGTTACATTATATTTTGTGCTAGGAACCTTGTTTGTTTTGTTTGTATTTCAACTAAGTTACATGCATTTTATTGATTATTATTTACTATGTAGTGTTTCATGCAATAATTACTGCTTAATAAATTATTTAATATGGAAAAAAATTTAGGCCAGGCCAGGTTCATGTCTTCCAGTTCACTGCTCAGACAGCTATGCCAAATCACCATCAGTGGCCTTCTCTGCTTGGCTTGATTTAGGCCCTTCCCCACCGAAGCCTGTGTCACAGCCTTCAAGACAGACTCTTCCCATTGTGTGGATGAAGTACAAACTATGAGCCTAGTTGACTGGAAGGGTCTTCCTGTTCCCATTAGGGCCTTTTGTTTTCTAATCTAGTAATTTTCATCTGGTTCTCCTCTCCTCCCATGAATTTGTTGTTTTGCACAGCAAGGGGAAGGGAAAGAGTCTCCTCCGAAGGAGTAGGGAGTTACCTTCCTTGCTGGCTGAGTTGTTGGTTGCCTGCTTCTACTGAGGACTCCAAAGGTCTCTAGGCTGCTGATGCCTGTGACGTCTGGTGAGGCCTCTAGGCTACTGTGCAATACAGTTCTTTAGCTCACTGTCTAATGAGATCTCCTGAGGTTTGGTGATGTCCTGCTGCTTGGCTCACCAGATTTTACAGCTGAGTGGGCTAGTAGTAGTCCATTGTGTATAAGGAACGAAGAATTGCCAAATGTAAACCTAGTAGCAAGTACTATGTTTACTCAAGATCATGGGAATTTGTGCTTGGGACCAGTCTGTGCCAGCAATGGACAAAATAAGACCAAATAAGAAGCAGGCTGACTGAAAAGCACTGCACACAGGTCAAAGATAGCAGCAGCAACACAAAAAAGTGGCCAGTAACTCAGACTTTCAGAATTGAAGGGCCAGACACCTCTCCTTTGGATGCCTCCCACTGAATCTCCCTTGTGGGTCAGTGCTTTGGCAGCCGTGCTCTTTCCGAGGCGGTTAGGCGGTTAGGCTTTTGCTACTTTATACCTCTCTTAAGATAATGGAAGCAGGAATAACCATGGTGCTTTCTAGAGTCTAATGGAGGGAAGGGAGTGACTCACTTGGCTCCTTTGTTTGTAACTGCACCAAAGCCAGCTGGCTTTAAAAAGAACAGAGCAAAAACTTCACTGAATAAGTTTTTAAAAGCAGTTATTTTTATAAGATGCAATTTCTGTAATTCTAAATTCAATTTTTATAACTCTCTACCAACGTAATGACAAATATAATAAGCAAGCTTAATCTCACCTGATGTAAGACGTTTTTGATACTTGGGAACATATTTCTCAAGGAGACGTTTCATACGTGAATCTTTGGCCTCATCCAAAGCACACTTTCCATTGTCTCTTCTAAATAATGGGTCAGCTCCATTCAAAAGAAGTAACTCTGCAACCTAGAAGAAGATATGTATGTAAGAAAGTCCAGACAAAGTGGATGATTGCAAACATGTGATAGCACACACTAAAGAAGTGCTTTCAACAATTTCTCTGGGATTATTTATAACATTTTTAGTCAACAAAAGAATTAATGTAATTGCTAGTCAATAAACAATTTGTTAACACACAAGTCCCTTCTCTTACAAAAGAAAAAAAAAAAAAACAGGAGGGGGGATATAGCAGTTGCTCTTTCATAAACTGAAAAATTTAAAGGTGACATAGCCATTGTCTTGTTCACCTGTTTTTAAGTTATTTCACTACTCTGGTTTCCTACTGACATTCATCTAGTGCTGAAACCAATGCTGAATGGAAACTGACCCCCAAAGGGCTGGCCCCTGGCACTAGGAAGGTGCCAAAAGAACTAAAAATGAACCAAAACCAAACCAAACCACCAGATTGGTAGCCCCACACAGCTTGATACACATGCATATCTCTAGGCTTCCTCATTTTACTCTTTTCCAATTTATCCTACTCATTCTAAGAGTTAGTTCCAGGAGGCAGACTAGCTGTCACAATAGCTTTGCCAAATTGTAAAGCTGTAAAAGTCATGTTCCCATTGTCTTCTATTCCCTATGTAGTAGATATCCAAAATGCAGTCCACTAGGATCCCCAGAAACAGGAACAGGAGAAGGGGGAAGGAAAAGGAGGGAGGAAGACAGGGAGGGATGCTAGAAACATCTCTGGTTCTGCTGCTGGTGAAGTGAAGCTACCAAGTATGTCAGGAATTAGGATTGGGTTCCACAGTAAACAGTATAGTAGTATCTTAGTACAGTTATTATGAGTAGGCGCTTAGAGCAGTCAGGGTCAGATAAAAGAGCTAATTTAATCAATAGCTGGTTAATCAAGCAGCCACACAAGGTTAGAGATGTAAGAGAAAACACGAGAACGAAGGATAAAACGCTGGGATGAGAACAGAAAAGTAAGGAATATTCCCTGCAGGAAGCAGTCTTATCCAGGGTACGTTAAGGTAGATAGCAGCTTTACCATGTCCTCCCTGCTTCTAGACCCCAGACAAACAAATGCAAGATAACTAGTTTTCTTAAAACTCTTTTGAACTCATTTTCTTTGAAACAAGCTCCCAGGCTCTGCCTATGTACATAAGGCCAAGACAAAGAAAGCGACATCTTTCCCCTTTTGGTGGATCTTTACCAAAGGCTTCCTCTTCATATTATTTCCAGTAAGACCCATTACTTTCTCCTTTGGTTCACAATTTCATTGGTTTTTCACTGTTCATGTTACAATGGTTCTTCACTGTTCATGGAAAAGCCAGCTAAGTTTGTACAGACGGTCAGAGTAGCAAATGTAACATAACAGGTTCCAGTAAATACTTACATCTTTCTCTCTCTCTGGCATAGGTATAAATGATACTGCTGTGGAAGAGACTGGTCAATGGTTACTCTTTCTGATCACTCTCTACCCCTGCTGCCCCAGGGAAAAATGACGCATCTTTAATGTAAATATTTTATTATAACCCTAAATATACTTAACTTGATATTTTACTTTTTTGTGTGTGTCTTTCTTTATTGCACTAAGCTTCTTGAAGGTGGAATTCTGTTTACCCTTTTATATTAATTCATAATTTTTGAATAGAAAATTAATGAATATGGTTTAAAATATAGATAGCTCAAAAGAGTATGCAATGAAACTATGTTTTCTTCCTCCATGCCTGTTCTCCAGAAATAACTGCTTTTTCCTGAGTCAGCCCTAGTTATACTTTCCTCTGAATTTTTCCAGCATTAATCTAGTCCAACAAGTATGGGCATACATATACATCACATACAGGCACAAGTGGACACATATTACGCATACTTCTCTGTACCTTGTCTCCTTTCCCCATCACCCCAGCAACACTGCTTAGAGCTACTTTCTTTCTTTTTTTTTTTTTTTAATTTTTATTTATTTATGTGTGTGTGTGTGGCCAGCTCAGCCCACCAGGAGGCGGGGCTGGCTGGCATGTGGTGCTGGGGGATTGAACCGCGGTCCCTGTGTTTGCTAAGCTTGTTCCAAGGAGGTGCTTTAGACCACTGAGCTACTAGTGTACTTTCTCACTGAATAAGCCTGCTATGTGTATCATGATTTATTTGTTCAATCAGTACCCTATTAATGAATGTAAAGTTGCATCAAATCATTCGCTACAGACAAATGTTTAATTGTCTTTTAATTTCTAGTACATGTTTCAGTATCTGAGTAAATGATCAGAAGTATTACTGAATAAAACACATGGCTGTTGGGCAGAATGTAAGAATGTAGGAAGCAGGTATGAACCATACATTTCACTAAAAAAGACTAAATTTCTCCCACAGTGTCTGGAATGACAGGATCTAAATTTCTGTGTATTGTATGTACTTAAAAATTAGAGATATATTCATTTTTTCTTGTAAAAAATATTCTAAGACAGTTTGCATCATCTTCTCTTGCATTTAGTGATCCATTCATATGTGTGCCATACACAAACACAACAGGCATCCTTTTGCTACCTTTCTATAATAACTGGAAACTGTAACCAGCTTCCTCCCCCTTTGGGTTCTTATCCTGAAGGTGATAAAAGACTGAGGCAACAGGACACAGCAAGCTGTAGGAACAGCTGGATGTGTTTTTGAACAAAAAGGAAAGCTGTCTGGAGGGGTTCCAAAAGATGAATGCCACAGATTTTTAAGTCCAGAGACTTTTTATGCAGTCTTTGCCATGAGAACAATGTAGCAAAATGTGTAGGTAAGCAAGCAGGTAAGCAGCTGCAGCTATCTGCTACTGCCAGGCTTTTGCTGTCTGAAAAGCAGGCTGTACTATTTCTCTGTTCTTTGCATTCCAGCCTTCCAGGGCTTTTTAAAAAAGATTTACTCAGGGATTTGTCCTTTGTTCTTGGTGCTCTGATTTCCCAAGACTTACCTTTAGGCCATTTAGGTTCTGACACTGAGTTTAATTTATTTAGTTCACTTACTTTTTCAGTTAGTTTACTTACACTTTTTACCCTAATCTACCCATGTCTCCTCTATCTCCTGGCCTCATAATCATCATAAATGTCAGCCTTTTAAAGAAGTTACCAATTTACCTTTTGAGTTTATAAGCATATGATTTCAGGTATAACACAACTCTTTGATTACTCTTTAACCATGTCTGTATTCTGGGCTGTGTGGTTGTATATGTGAGGCACACATAGGTTCCTTTAACACACAAATATTAATGTTTGCATGTTACAGAAAGTTAAAATTGCAGGAAAGTATTAAGTGGAAAGTAAAAATCTCTCACATTCTTATGAGGGTAGGCTTAAAACTGCTCCCTCAATGATATTCACATCCTCATTTGGAGAGCCTGTATGTGTTACTTTATTTGGAAACATCATCTTTGCAAATATGATTACATTAAGGATTTGGGATGAGGAGATTATCTTCAATTATATGACTGAGCCCTAAATATCATCACAAGTGTCCTTATACAAGAGACACAGCGATTTCACAAGCACACACAATGGAAAAGGCGATATGAAGACTAAGGAAGACTATGGAATGATGTAGCCTCAAGTCAAGGAATGAAGAAATGTCAGCCATCACCAGAAGCTGAACGAGGCATAAAACAAATTCTCCCCTATGGCCTCTGGAGAAAGCAAACCCCTACTAACCCCTTGATAGTAGTCTAGTGATACTTATTTTGGACTTCTCCCCTCCAGAAACAAAGTTTTGTTGCTTTCAGTCACTTAATCTGTGGTAATAACTTACAGTAGTCATAAGAAACCAATAGAAATTTTTGTACTAGGAAGTGAGGTGCTGTTTTAACAGGTATCTAAGATGTGGAAATGTTTTTTTTGAATTAAATAATAAATACAGACTTAAAGAATTTGAAAAAAGCCTAGACTACCATGAACAGATATTAGGCAGAAATATGTTAAAGGCTGTCAGAGATGGCACAAGAGGAGGCAAAAAGGAAACTTTCCACGGTCCTAAAGAATGCACGTATCATCATAAAGCAAATGCTAGGGCAGCGAAGTAAACATGATGGACACTTTTCTGAAAAGGACACAGCATGTTTTTAGAAACCAGAGGAAGGAGGGAGAGAGGGAGAGAGCACAATTCTAGAGGAATTGTCTGATAGTTGTGTGGTGCATTACTCAACTTTCCCATCAGCAGGAAAAAACAAAACAAAACCTGGGACACACGACTTCAAGGACAGGTTTATCCATCTGGCTTCAATCCATGTCAGCTGGCCCAAGATAAAAAAGGCAGGGCAGAAGGGTCTCGCAGAGGAAAGTGGCTTGACCCATGGCAGCCAGGAAGAAGAGATTAAGGAAAAGTCTCTCTCTGGTATGTTCTCCAAAGGCATGTCCCAAATGACTCACATCTTAAACAACACTTAGCTAAGAATGGATCAACAGATTACTCCATTAATGTATTCAATGCCTCTGTAATCTAATCATATCCAAACTGGTTCATAGAGGGAGCGGAGAACAATTTGGAGATGCCAGCCGCAGAAGTAGCCTTAGAATGCAATTAGCTGCCCAGAATGGGAGATTCTGGTTCAGCTCGGGAGTCCAGAATACTGATAGAAATGCAGACTATAAAGACAAGGCTCAGAAGGTTTCAGCTGATGACTCCATTGGCAGTTTTACTCCAGGGCATATGTGTGTACACTCAGACAAAAAGTCTGTCTACATTTTGGTCATGTCCTGCAACTTTGCTGGGGACTAGGATTAAAGGTGGAAGAACAAATAATCTGGTGGAGGGAATTTCAAGGCAGCCCAACATTCAGGCTAAGGCATGGATACTGTTGGAGGCTTTGAGCTATGTTTATGCAAAAAATCATGAGCAAAGAGCATAATTGAGTAATTTTAAAAGTTTTGCGTTTGGCCAAAAAAGGAAGCTCCAATAAAGTTGGGGCTGCAATGTTAAGAGTGAAAGAGAGCTTGGTTGCTAATAATATCAGCACTAAAAAGGGAAAATGGCTTGAGGGCATGAAAGAAATCTGA